CTTCAACTTGGGGATGCTGGACAGGATTTAGCCAACAGGGGGAGGGGGTGCGAAATAAAATCTAAATCCACAATATAATTGTGTATAATCTTGTCTAAGTAAGTAGATATGGCCCCAAGAAGAAAGGGTTTACTTTGGGTTTTTAAATGTAAAATATATTTACTTTCAATCATCATTCGGTTTTAAAAGTAATTTGCATTATTTTAACCCATCATTTTCCATCACGAAAAATCATGTCTTTTATGCATTATACAGTTTTCGGACTTATGCAAACTCACACCCCGAAAATGCAGGAAATCGCATTTCAGGGACCCTAAATTTCAAAATATTCTGGGGAGCATGCCCCCAGACCTCCACTAAAATGGCTCCCGCCTTTTGCGCTGGCTACGCCACTATCTCTATACTATCTTCTTTATATCAATGCTATAAAATTTTATTGTCTCCCCAAAACACTTCTTCAAAAGATTTAAACCACTCTTTTTATTTTACACCTACAAAATATATCCCCCCCCCATTATTTTACCAGCCCCTCCTCCCAACCGATATAAATAATGAACCCTAAGTATTTTATATTTCCCTGTTGAAAACGTATTAACAGGTGTACAATTGACGTATTAAATTTGCAAAACACATAGGAGAACGGGGCTGATGTTTTATGGAGAATTTTAAAGAAATAACCTGATTTTAACATATTTTCTCATAAATCTGCCCGAATTTTCTTGATTTTTCCTAGCGTTTGCCCGAATTTCCATGGTTTTCCAAAATTTTGGGGGCAGTTGCCCCTCCCCCCCCGCCCCCCTGTCTCGTACGCCTATGTCAATAAGGCATTTACAACATGAACATAATACGAAGCCAAAGTGAAAGTGTGAAAGTGAAAGAAACTGTAAAGAAAGCGTGCTAATTCTCGTATTTTACTCGTATTTTACTCGTATGTACTCGTATTTACTCGTATTTACTCGTATGTTACTCGTGTGTACTCGTATGTTACTCGTATGTTACTCGTATGTACTCGTATGTTACTCGTATGTACTCGTATGTTACTCGTATGTACTCGTATGTACTTGTGTGTTACTCGTATGTTACTCGTATGTACTCGTGTGGTGTTTTAGTCACGATCAATAAGAATAAGCGAACGAACGAATGTATTCCTTCCACTCGTGAGCTCATTTACCATTGTCACATATAGTAAATGTCCAGGCCTTGTGACCCTGTATATATCTAGAAAAGGGTATGTATATCGCTGGAAACTCAGTGAGCGTTTTATGTTGTTATTTTATTTCCTGAGTACGGGTCTTCGACCAATTTCATATACAATATTAAGTTGATATTTTCTAGTTGCAGTCAAGTTGGTCAATATATTTCCTGGCTATAAATAAGCAAAGCAAAAGTAAAAGACTGCATGGTCTCGGGGAAATAAATAATTAGAAACATCGTGCTTATTGCCTAATACAGCGAATAATTTCAAAGGCACTCACATTCAGCTTGTATTGCTGTATTTGCATGGCCATGCGATGTTAATTGTGCTTTCGAGTTCGTCCTCTAATTATGCCAAGTCAACAAAAAGCAACGTAAAGGTCCAGCCCACATTTTCATGCAGTCAATTGCGCCTCGAACTATACAGCAGCATCATGCACGACTGTTTTCGTTGACGGAAAAGGGATTTATTTTACTTGATAAAATCTACTATATAAAATCTACATAATCTAAAATCTACATAATATTTATTTATTTTATTTTACTTTTATTAGTAATTGTATTGCCTTCGCTATTGTACCGCAATTCGACTAACGGTGACGTAAAGCTCTCTTGGCCTTGCAATCACGGCACAAATAATTGATAATTTATACTAAGTAATAAATATAATATAAGTAATATAAATACTAAACTGTAAAGTTAAATATATTAATCGGAAACCTGGTGAATTCCGCGTGAACTGGTTTATTGTTTCGAGCGGTGGCCTCCCGTTGCATGTAATATGAAGTTTATTATGGTGTTTCATTTACAGTAATCAGTATATATCATGCAGGATTCGATTTGTTATATTGTGACTATATGCATATATGCATTTACACATATACAGAGTTACAGTTCAATTTTATACTAGTTAGGCATGTGTCCAGCTCAATTGTCAAGGTCAAAATACTGTGCACCGGTTAGACAATCTGTTAGAGATTGTAACATAACCCCCCCCCCCTGTTCAATGTTGTTAGACTAAAATTGACATTTTTAGGGACGTTTGCCGGGACGGGACGATTTATACATCCCGGGTTGGGAGCTGTTTACTTGATCCCGCTTTGCCGAGGCGGGACGAGATGTGAGCATGGGCGTACGGGCCTAATCTTGTTGGGGGAGGGGGGCACAGTATCAGTTTGCCCGACCGTCGCTAATTAATAATATTTCGCCCCAAAATTTTTGGCGAGCGGGCGGGGGGGGTCACCAAAAAATTTTTTCCGGACATCAAAATATTTTCCGTTATATACCTTAATTTCCGCAAACATACCAAAAATTTTCCGGACGTACCAAAAAATTTTCCCTAATATCCCGTACTTTTCGCAAATATACAAAAAAATTTCCTGATATAGCAAAAAAAGTTCCCCCTATATACCGTCATTTTCGCACAAAAAATTTTCCGGGCATAACATAATTTTTCCAAATTTTTTATGTTTTGCCCGAATCACGTATGGATTTCTGCCCGACCGTAAAAATTTTGAGGAGACTGTGCCCCCCGGCCCATACGCCTATGAATGTAAGGCGGGATGATTTTGACGTATTGAAATACGTGACGGTGCACGATTTAGCAAAATCACATTATTTTTCTATAGTGATAGATTACAGTATAATTGTAAACGAAAGGTTGTTCAAGCAGCCTATTAATCTTCTTGAACCACGAGATCTTCTCTAACAACATTTGAGTTTCTTTAACCGGTGTTTGAACGTTCGTTGAAGCCTAGTCATTTATTTCAATACACCAAAATTATCCCGCCTTCCATCCTGTCCCGGCAACAAGTGTTTTATACATGGAAGAAAACGTCCCGGTTGAGGCGGGATCCCGCTTGTCCGGGACGGGACGAAAAACGTCCCGCTTCCATATAAACATCTGATGACAAATATAATATAAATTTATACAAGCCGGGATCCCGTTCATCGTCCCGTCCCGGCAAACGTCCCGTTCCGCCTCTCATATAAACAGCTCCTTAGTGTGTTGTATTATGGGCCGGGGAGGGGGTTTTATATATTATTTTTGCAATTGTTAAAGTGTCCCACCATTCAATGTCACTGACTGTAGTCGTTAGATCTTGCCTATAGCATTATAGGAGCCACAAGTTGTCGATCCTTCGGACCTATCGAGCTCGTTTTCGTTGTTTTTAACGATACTTATGTGGAAATTAGCGAAAATCGTACTGTAAAAAGAAACTTTTTTAAAGTCCAGAGTCCAGTCCAAATCTAGTCCAGACTCCAGTCCAGTATTTATATATATGCCCAACATAGAGAGGCGATCCATCTGCAAAATGCAGCATTTTTAATTGCATGGTTCCGGTATAACCTGAGTACGGGCGCTTGCTAGGAACAACCTAAATAATTCTTTCCCGGTATAGGTTTTTAATATTAATAAAATAACTGACTGTTCTACTTTAGTTTATGTTAGAACGTTGTATAGAAACGCTTTTTAGAATACACTAAAAATGTAGAAAATACTGTACAACTACAAGTGCCGCCGCATTGATATTGAACAACTTTTTCGGCGAACTGATCAAGCCCAAGGAGAAACTACACTGAAAACTGCTCAGTTTATTGAGAATTTTACTGATATTGCATGAAATCTGAAAATCCGTTGTTATCGTTTCATCTTAGTAAAAAATGTTTACAGAGATTTAAACTGTATAGATCTTGGTTTTCTGTAAATGTTCAAATTTATAATTTGCTGCAATTTGTGGCGTAAACAACTTAATTATTAAGACGACCGGACTCGCTGGGACGGTCAAAAATCATTTTTACATGACTATATATAGTCTTATAAACCGAGATCTTTAATTCATATTCAACTAAATTTTGATAAAATGAAAACTTTTCGTTTCGAGATATTTATACGTTTAAAATTTGATTGAAATGCTTTTTGCGCGAAATACGGGCATGTGTTGACAGTAGAACAGGTCGTATGTTCAAAGCCTATATATGTTCAAAGCGATACTGTGTCTGTGATACAAAAACTGGAACTGGCTTCTGCTTTCCGGAACTGGAACCTTAGGCCGCGTTTACACTATGACGCTACGGCTAACACTCCGTTAAAAATTTACTACGTTTCTAGTATTGAGACTATATTGTGTTTACACAATGTTTATATAACGGAGTGGTTTTCCGTAGCGTATTAACTACAGACCACTAAGTTTGGCACTCGGGATGCAAATCACTATACGCTGCGGTAAATTTGCAGTAGCGTCATAGTGTAAACGCGACCTTAAGCCTGCCGCACATGAGAGCAACTTGCTGAGCTAACCGCCTCGCGTGGCAGCTAGCTCAGCTATGTATTTTCACCGCACACGTTGGGAAAACTACTCAATAACCATATAATTGACAAAATCATTTGCATTTTCCTTCATTTTGTTCCTAGTCACATGAAGAAACTATGGTGTGTCATTGGCTAATTGATTCAAACAGCTCAGCACTTAGCTCACAACATCCGCAGACGCTGAGATTTTTTCCTCGCGAGGCGAAAAATATCAAACACGATAGATATTTTCCTCAAGGCCTCGAGAGGTCAAATCCTCACTAAAACTATCCGCACAAGAGAGAAACTTGCTGAGCCAGTTGCCACACGAGGCGGTTATCTCAGCAAGTTGCTCTCGTGTGCGGCGGGCTTAAGTCACCGTATAGGAGATATTAACGATACTATTTTTCGAGGGCGGGGAATATATACCTGAGAAATAATATATATATATATATATATATATATATATATATACCTTTAAAAACGTGTAACTGACGTACAACCACTGACAGGGCCTCAAGAAAAAAGGGACCTTTATACCTAACCCAGCAACTCTTCCACAGTCCCTCAAATTTGCTTCGAAAAGGATTAACAGAAATGCACATACAAATTTGCAGACGCTTACGGGCTGGAACAATAGAACGCACAGGTCTATGGGAATGATGCATTCCCATCATTCAACGCTGGACGATCTACTGGGGACGAGTCCGGGACCAAACTACGATGTAGTGAACTGGAAAAATGGGATCCTGTAGGCGGATGCGGGGGCAAAATAATTCACTTGAGGGGGGCAACATTGGGGCTGGACTTGCCCATAGATATCTTATATACACTAGATAGTGCATCTAATTATTCTGCAATTCAAAAATTGAAGCCGTGATTGCAGGCTCAGGATATTCCCATGAAATGAGAACATTCGTATGTATCCTATTTCTTAAACAGGGAACTTAAACATTAAGTTAATCCTATTATAAATACATTTTCAAACTATTCAAATGATGAAAGTTATTGTTATTTTTTAAGCGTTTATTAGCGAGTGGGAATCTCCAACATGGCCGCCATCTATTCAAATGGGGGTAACCGCTGGGATATTCTTGGCTTCAATTTTACTAAAAGAGATGCGCTATCTAGTTTATATAAGATATCTATGGACTTGCCGCCCAAGTATATATGATAAAAAGGCCCTGACCACTGTAGTTAATAGTATTATTTTGTTAAACTAGTTTGTATCTTTAGAACACACAGCTACAAAATGAAGGCATTTCTGTTGTTTGCAATATTGCAGTCATTTCGTGTAATATATGGACAATCAGGTTTGTATTATTGAACTGACACTGTATTGATATCCTAACGTATATGATATTATATTTGTAATGAATGTTTATGAGTGCAATGGTAAAATATTTTCATGAGGTGAATTAAAAATATTTTTACTATTACACGAATGAAAACATTCATTATTTGTTTTATATGACACCAAAATACTGAAAATAGACCAATTTTATCGAATTTCATCGAAATTTAATCTTACAACTACATATAATTGAAAGGGAAGCAGTGCATTGTTTTCACCCAAAAAATTAAAGCAACAAAATATTTTAAGCAAACGTGCCCTATAGTTTTCACGACTGTTTCCCATAGTAAATCAATTCTTCTCATTTCTTCAAAGTAAAATTGCTTGAAAGTAGCGCATTTGTATGAAACAATTTTCCAAATATATGTTTTTGAAAATTGAAATCTTACTTATCTCACTCCTGGCAAACAGCCATATTTTTGAGATCAGTGAGGATGACCACCCACGCACCACGCACGATGAAACGCCCTGATGAAACTTAGCCACGCGCCAGCGATTATTGATTTCGCGATTATTGACTTTAGACTTCGCTAATGCTTTCCTTTCCCCGAGTGTAAATATCCGTGCGGTATTTGTACCCTCACCCCGGGCTTACGCCAGGAACGGCGCTCGGCGCCGTTGGCTCGAGGATCACGTGATTATAATCTGCCAACTAAATGACCAGAATATTTTCTCAGTGCACAACAATATTTTCTCAGTGCACAACAATATTTTCTCAGTGCACAACAATATTTTCTCAGTGCACAACAATATTTTCTCAGTGTACAACAATATAGTCTCAGTGCACAACAATATTTTCTCAGTGTACAACAATATTTTCTCAGTGTACAACAATATTTTCTCAGTGTACAACAATATAGTCTCAGTGCACAACAATATTTTCTCAGTGTACAACAATATTTTCTCAGTGTACAACAATATTTTCTCAGTGTACAACAATATAGTCTCAGTGCACAACAATATTTTCTCAGTGTACAACAATATTTTCTCAGTGTACAACAATATTTTCTCAGTGTACAACAATATAGTCTCAGTGCACAACAATATTTTCTCAGTGTACAACAATATTTTCTCAGTGTACAACAATATTTTCTCAGTGTACAACAATATAGTCTCAGTGCACAACAATATTTTCTCAGTGTACAACAATATTTTCTCAGTGTACAACAATATTTTCTCAGTGTACAACAATATAGTCTCAGTGCACAACAATATTTTCTCAGTGTACAACAATATTTTCTCAGTGTACAACAATATTTTCTCAGTGTACAACAATATAGTCTCAGTGCACAACAATATTTTCTCAGTGTACAACAATATTTTCTCAGTGTACAACAATATTTTCTCAGTGTACAACAATATAGTCTCAGTGCACAACAATATTTTCTCAGTGTACAACAATATTTTCTCAGTGTACAACAATATTTTCTCAGTGTACAACAATATAGTCTCAGTGCACAACAATATTTTCTCAGTGTACAACAATATTTTCTCAGTGTACAACAATATTTTCTCAGTGTACAACAATATAGTCTCAGGGCACAACAATATTTTCTCAGTGCACAACAATATTTTCTCAGTGCACAACAATATTTTCTCAGTGCACAACCATATCAAACTTTGCGTTAACAAAAAGTCGTGTCGTATTGCGCGTATCATATTTCCAACTTTTGCCTATACAAATCACCCCCAAATTTGATGTTTTTTCGCTTACGTTTGCTCTACGATTAAATCTGTGTTCAGTTACCTACGGTATAGGAAAGAATAAGCCTTTAGACGTCTTTTGAATGTACTTTTATGGGGAAATA